AAGACACAGGGCTTCACTCCTCAGCCTTCCAAGTGGCAGCTCAGTTCTGGCAGATGCATGGAAAGAGCTTATCTTGGCCCCAGGTTGAAAGTGGCCTCAGTCTTGGGCTTTTAGCAGCTCAGAAGTGACGGGTGGGGCCCGAGGGCAGGGTCCCTGAGCATGGTTTCTCCACCTGCAGGTGAATGAGCAGCTGAAGCTCAAGGTGTTGGCGCAAGACTCCATCGTGGTCACCTTCACATCCCTGAATGAGACAGTGACACTCACTGTGTCAGCCAAAAACTGTCCCCACAAGATGGCACTGGAAAAGCAGGTAGGACACAGTGGCTGATGACCGGTGCTTACCACTTCCACCCCAGATCTTGTCACCTCTGCAGCCCTGCCCAGGTCCCCCGTCCCTTGCTGTGTCACTTGGAGCCTGGCCTTAGCTCTGCCTCCCTGTCCTCTGGGGTCCTGCAGGATGGACTGCCTTTGAGCATGAAGAGAGAGCAAGTCAGCACTAGAATGAGAAGCCTGGCACACACAGCTCCAGTTTGGCTCATTTTGGCCCTCAAGGGTCCTCCAGTCTCCCCACCCTCGGTGCTCCTCGGGGTTACATCTATTCTCAGAGCTTCTCTCCATGGGATCAAGATGACCAGAGCTTCATATCTCTCCAGCAGGGTGCCTCCCATACACAAAGTCCTGGGCTCTGGCTTGAGCCCCACACCATGGAGAGGAAGGAGTGGGAGAAGAAGAACTGAGATGGTCCCATGGGCAGACCGGAGTTTGAGCCATCCTTAGGCAGTTGGGGGTGTGACCCACCCCAGGCAGCAACCAGATGGAGGGGAAGCACTGTCCTCAGGATCCCTGAGCTTGCAGAGGGGTGTGGCAGGACAGGAAAGCCACCAGTGTGCCCCTCCATCCTTGTGTGTGGCCAGGTTGGGACCCCCTCCATTGCTCAGCCCTTGGCTGAAAAATCCTCCATCTGCTTCTGTGTACAACTCAGTCTCCTCACCAGGCTGGGTATTCCTTGGGTTCTTCCAACACCAGCAAAGGATGACTTTATATGACACACATCATCGACCAGGTCCAGGAGGGACCAGTTCTTGGACCTCCTGCATACGCATATAGAAAATGACTTTTATTCTGCAGCCTCCTCCATATGCTTTAAATCACCTCAAGATGACTTATAAGCATCAGTGCAATAGAAATGTCGTGTAAATCACTTGGAGAATGGCTGACACTGACAAAGGATCTATAATCTGAGGTACAGGGTCTCAGGATAAATCCTGAGGGGATTTCACTGACCTTATTAGACCCAAAAGCTACAATTCTTGTTGAATAGGTCTTGCTTTATCTTGGTCTTAACCATCCAGCAGAAAAGTATAAAAACGACGTACAAGAAGTAAAGCCATGGTGTTATGTTGAGCTGTAGGGGACTCAGGTCAACAACTTCTGACATTGCCAGTGAAGTGGAAGACACAATACTATTATGGACTACTGGACTCTTTTAGAATATTTTGATGAGTTCACGTACCTTTAATATTTAAATGATGGAACTAAACAAAAAAAAAGGGATGCAGATTAATGACCATTTTGTATCTGTGTATTCAAAATAATAAGGATAGCTACATAGCTATAATCTCTTAATTCATTGAGTAGAGGGATTTGTTCTAATAGTGTTTGTAAATAGGATATCATGTCTGCATCTTGTACAACAAATAACCACTGGGAAGACAGTATGCAATGTGTTAATTATTGAAACTGTCCTACCAAGTTGATTTGAAACTGTCTCATTGCTATTTGTTTCTCAATAAAATTATGGGAAAAAAAATCACTTGGGGAAGAAGAACAAAACATCTATATGAGTTCAGTCCAAGTGTCATTCTCCTTGCATAAGTTCAGTCCAAGGTGGCCTGGATCTGAAGGTGCAGCCCCAAAGAACAGAGGCCAACGGTGCATTCTAGGGTTCCTGGTTAGAGACTGGGAGACCAGTTCTTCCCTCCTCTGGGTCTCAATGGATCCTACAGGAACTGATGCCAAATCACCATCATGGAAGGAACTGGACAAGGTGCAGAGGACACATAGTCCCTATGTCGCAAAGGCCCAAGAGAAATGTCCCTAAGGGTGCTTTGTGGGATGACTCCGAGGAGTAGGGGCCACACCTCCCACTTGCCCAGGGCTGGTCCCACATACACAGTGCACAGAAGAATTGCAAATGTGCCCTTTCCCTCTCCAAGATGTCCCAGCCTGGATGATGAGTTGTAAAAGCTGAGCAGGAGGGTCCGGCTCTGGGATGTCTACTCTAGCCCATCCTACACTCAGGGAGCCTCAGATTTGGCAGGGCCATGCAGACATTTGGCCACAACTGCACAGGGACACAGGGACACAGAAGAGGTGCACATCAGGACATCAAGATGAGCACAGAAGAAAATGCTGTGCACTCTGGAAGAAGAGCCTCACACCTGCTTTACCAGATGCTTTCTGCAGCACACTTTACCTCCACCACTTCATTCGTAGGTCCTGGAGACATTCCTCTGCACTGCAGCAGGCAGCATGGCTTCCAGGGAGTTAGAGATGAAGCTGTGCTCGCTCTGGGCTCTGATGAATGTTCTCAGTAAGGAAGAGGCAAACGCTTCTACAGCATAATCCAGCCAGATCCTTGAGGCATGGCGATCAGAGGGTGTCATGATTTGTGTCTAGATGTCCTCCCAAAGCCTCTGAAGTCATGGGGGGTAGATTTTTGGAGGTAGCTGAATCTAGAGTTTGTGACTAACTCTGACTTCATTGACTTCATAGTACAATGCTGGGATGAAGGTGCTGGGATTACAGTTGAGTGATTGCCAGATTGCTCCAGTTACTGTACTGGCACCACCCTAATCCCAGCAGTTGGATATGATGAAGGGGAGAAAGAAGCTTGTTTCCCCCTTTTGCTGATGCTTGTTGCTTTTTCTGTTTTCTGCCACCGTGAACTGTTGCTCCTCTGTCATGTGCCACACTGTCCCAGAGCCATGTAATTATAGGTTGAAACTTTCACAAGTTGTAAGCTAAATCTTTCCTCCCTTTGGGTGTTGGGTATTTTTTCGTCAGCAATGAGAGAAAGTTCACTAAGACAAAGGGGTACTTGGGGGCTGTGGGTATGAGAAGAGAAAGCATGCAGGAAGAGGTCTCCCAAAATACCAGGACACACAATGTTGAGGGTTCGACCCGCACTGCTGCCACAAAGAGAAAGAGTCATGGACAGGAGCTGGGCTTAGTGATAAGATGAAGCCCTGGGTTCCATCCCCAGCACCAGGAAG